TTCCACGGTCTGGTGTTCTCCAAATGTTCAGTCACGACTCTGGGGTGCCAGGCTCTTGTTTTTAATGTGATGATGTACTCAGCTTGGTGATTGATTACCCCAGTATATCTTCTGCTCTGTTGAATCCACAAAGTGCATTCTGGCAGATTTCTGCTTTAATAATTCTACACCATCGATTTGTTCTGGGTTTCCTTTCTTTATGAAGGACACCCACAGGACTGCATGAAGGCCTCACTTTCTGCGATGAGCTTTAGGCTTTGTAGTTCTGTTGCCCAAAAAGGCGGCTGGGCTCAAAGTTACCAGGAGCCACTTCCAGAGCATTCAGGAGGGAGGTTCTCACTTTCATAGGTTTCCAGGAACAAAGGTTGGGTAACACAACACAGGGCAGTTGAACAGGTTATGGTTTATGGCAGGTGGTTCAGTGAGTGAGCTGTGCTTAGGGACTTGGCTTTGCCTTGATCTGGGAGAGGCACTTTTAAACAATAACTGTTACTACGTTTCCTTTTACAGTGTCTCGTAGTAGCGAGAAAGACGGGACCAGTCCCTAACTTCTGGATGTAGAACTGGAACAGATGTGAGGTCTTGGTTCATCCGTGTATTTGCATAAAGGTATGCTTTTGGAGTGCTTGACCAGCCCAGCTGCTCATGTCCCATGGCTCTGTCATCCCAACTGCTGGAAAGGCTTCTCACAGCCATATTTGTAAGACAACAAAATAGTTGCAATTGTATCAGTGAGTGCTTAGCCTACAAAGCACATACAAGCAAATATTTGCAGTAACTGGACCAGTGTTTGTACAGCACCAAACACATTGCCCGGACTCCATAAATAATAATACTTGACACTCATGGGGTGGTTTCCATTTTCAAAGCACTTTAGTCATAACCCTTGACACCTATATGGCCTTTTTCATCTTTACAAGAATTAATTAATCCTCACAATGTCCTGTGAGATAGGTATGTGCTGCAATAATAACAATTAATAATTCATGCCTTCTACTCAAAAATGACTTCAGGGATTAAAATGCTTCAGTAATACTTGTTTTTTTTTTATTATTAACATTTTCCAGCAAATAATAAAAGCCATGGTATTGTGTTAAATCTATATAATATATACCCATAAATCTTTTGCAGATCAGGGTGAGACTATAGGCCCAATGAGAGGTACCAGTACATCAGCAGGAACTAAATGACTGACCAGAAAAGCCAGTTCAAGCCCAGTCCACCACACAGTCTAGGTGCAAGAATGAATCTTGCCCACACATGGCAGTGCATAAATACCAGTGAACCAGGAAGGCTCTGTTTCATTTTTAGCTCTTGTATATGCAAAGAACCCCTAGTTACAGCATGAATTACAGGACCCCATCCTATACAAACATAGCACCAAGAGAACACGAGCGCTTGCTGGGTAAGAAATGGCAGTGACTCAGCACCACGTTGTGAAACAGGGAGCGCAGGGACAAGTCTGGCCAACACCAGGGCAAAGCCTTTTCCTTGTAAAAATTACCATACTGTCTTTGATATGCAGGCGAGCCCCAACTAAACTGATTTTAAACAAGCGGGACTTACACTCGGTTGACCTAAAGAGAAGAACTGGCAGGCTCCCATTGGGGAGCACCCTTGCACAGAGCAGAGGAGGGATCAGGGTGCTGGAGTCAGCCCCCTTCACGGATGTTCCCATTCCCTGCAAAGATGCTGTTTTCAGTTTGCATCCCCAAACGGATTCATGTAAGGCACCTTTAAACCTAATAATGCTGCCATGCCAGAAAACAGTGAGAAGGAGCAGACATTCACCCGCACTCTAGCAATTTCCCCATGACTTACCCATGACTTCCCTGTGTCTATGAGCAATGAATTTGGACCACTGAACAGTTAGGGCCAGTGGCCTTTGTACTCTAAGCCTTGTTTTTTCCCTTACTATGAGGAAGATATCTAATTAAACAAAACGACTTCTAAATTATTTGCCCTTTTGTTGAGTATACCAAGAAAGGAAGTGGGAATTCACCACTCTGAAGGGATTGGCTTTATTCTTCTTGCAGCTGCTGGCAGTGGCTGCAGGAGAGGACATGCTGGGAAAGGGACTGGTTTCTGAGTAGGGAGTACCTTCTGCCAGTACCTTGGCATACAGATTCATCAATAATTGATCAGTGGACATGTGCTAAGAAATGTCTAACATTGGTGATTAATATGCCTGTAGCACTACTTTTTCTTTCTATCCATTGCTTTATACACACACAAATGCATTGTTGATCTCCATAAGGCAGAGAGGATTCAATCCCAAGATGATCATTTCATTGATGCACTTATCCAGATCAATCTTGGAAGTTTCTGCTTCCCAGAATAAACAGCAAAAGTGGAAGAACAGCACGACCAGGTGACTAGTCCCTCATTTGTAGACAGTTTATAAACAGTGTGATGCAAAGCCATGAAGACTAGTCCCTTATTCGTAGACAGTTGGTAAACAGTGTGATGCAAAGCCATGAAGCAGCTTTCAGAAATTTCAGGACACAAGTTATGCCATTTAGTACAGCTGTAAATTGGTGGTGTTAAGACATGTGAACTAGTTAGCATCTCCCTGGTAAACAGAGCTTTAGCAGGGCACAGGCTCCTGGTCCTGGCTGTTCTACATAGGGGCAATTTCATGTTTCTAGTTTTTAAAAGCTACCAGCAAGCCTCACAAAAATAGCAGAGCCTATAGATGACAAAGTTAAAAACTGCTGCTTTGGGATTGGGATATTTACCAAACAAAGCCATTGGCCTTATTGTTTTATTGCTGCCGACCTCCTGCCCGGAGCCCCAGTGTACCCTAAGGGCTTTAAGAGGGACACAAATGTGTGTGCGAATGTATCACACCAAGGCGCGCTTTCAGATCACTGCCAGAGGAACGTATTTTAAAAGAAAAGTGAAAGAAACAGGAGAATAGATGCCAGCTGCTTCAGCTCCCTTCAAGCAAGGGCTCCTGCACCTTGTCTTCCTGCAGGGGAAGGGCGACTCCCACTGGGGCACATTTTTCCCCTTTCTGAGGAAAAAAACAATGGGTTTGTTGCTGCAGTCCCAGGGCCTCCCTGCCCACAGCGGGCAGAGAATGCCACTGTCCCCCTGGGCTCCAGAAGCAGTTCTGGCACAAGAGGGAGGACAAAGTGACAGTTGTCCCAGCTGGCACCACGAGTGTCTTGTTGAAAGCCCTGAATACCATCCCTTGCTACCCAGAATCTGGCCCCAGGAGGATGTGCGGATGTTTCTTACAATTGTGGAGAAGAGAAGAAAAATGAGTGAACACCACAGAAAGATACTGATACAGATCTGACTCCTTAAAGCAACAGGGACTACCCCAGCAGGTTTAGTTATTGCAGGTGTGGAGCTGCAGTTTCAATGTGAACTGGGGTGGTTCCCTTGAGAGGCAATGTTCTGACCATGGATACCATGACAGCAGGCAGGCTGTTGTTAAACAACGTCTCTGCGAGCACACCCAGCAATGCAAGACCAGACTGCTTCAGAGTTCTCTAGTCATTAGTTTAGAGACGTAGGAACAAATTAATTTTTGGCCTTTAATCACTCTCTAAGGAGTGTATTATTTTTTGTTCTTGTTGCTGCTAGTTGGATATGTAAATATCCACATTTCTTAAAATAGGGGGTGGAAAAAGGTACTTCTCAAACAGAAATACCGAAGAGGGCCTTGTTAAATCCATGATTATGGCAAAGCTTCCTTCACAGCAGGGTTGTAATTCAGATGTTACATCCTACAATGGCCAAGCAAATCCAAACGTGTTTTATTTTAACAAGGTTATGAAAAAGGGTGTGTGCCAGCTGCTATCGCACACCTCTGAAATTTCAAGCAAGACATATCTGGCTCTCATATGAGATCAAACCGGATTATCTCACATTGCTAGGATGTGGTTGCAGAAATTCAGTATTGTGTCATTGTGATTCATAATACAATCTACTTTACTTGGTATAATTAAGTAAATAAAGGCACAAGTACAAAAAGGTATAATATTTGTTAGATATTTACCTTTATCTCTGTCACATACTATTCTAATACTTCCTGGCAGCCCAGGAATCCAGCCAGCTTGAAGAGGATTCCTTTTTTCTTGCCCATACTTAAAGCCCTGATTTTCTTTCATTGTACCTACATTGTTCTGGATTTTCATGTGAGTGGACAATGGAGCCAGGACTGTTTGCTCCCTCATCAGAGCCCTGAAAGACTCCTCATGTGGCCTTCAGCAAGCTGTTTATTATCAGGGCATGAGCTTCCATCTATAAAAAGAGAGGACTAATGCAGCTACTAATGATGATGATGATATTGTTAACACATAATTATCTATCTCACAAGAAAATTGGGAGGGTGAATTAGTGTTTATAAAGTATTTTAAAGATTATAATATTACTTATGTGAGGGCTATACTTTATGTCCTGAGGACAGCAGTTTTTGCAAACCACCTTCTAATTAGGTTTTGCTAATAAGAGTGTCAAAAAGGTTTAAAAAATAAAATATCAATAGGTACATTCAGGAATCACTGGGTTTTAGTCTTATTATAGTGTTAGTATCAGCTGCTTTCCTGTAGGTGGATATGCTATATCCACATCTACCAAGACCTTAAGCATTGTTTTCTGGCATATTAAATGTAAAAGGAACGAAGTACATGGTGGTGCCAAAGCACACCCTGTCCTATGTTATTAGGCAACTTACTCCAGTGATTAAATCCCTTAAAGTCAATAGAGGTTTTGCAGTTGTTTGGTTTGTTTTTTCTCCCACTCCGCTGGGCTAGGATTTCATCCTGGATCTCCAGCTTTGTTTTTCACTGCACATCACTGATGTGCTTAACACTCAATTAAAGCACACCCTGGATTTATTTTATACAATCCCTTAGCTGTGAAAGGGTGATTGTAGGTCCTAATCAGAAGGAGCTGACTCCAGCACAAGTCCAGCCAGAAGGATGACTTTGCTGGGGCCTCTCATATTTCCCTTTTTTTAGTCAATTATCTACATTTCATTCAACATCCATTTCTTTCAGTTTTATTCTTGAGGATTTCTGATAACGTATCAAACTTCCCTAAGCAGGTTGTAATCTTCACCCCCTGCAATGCCCACCACAACAACATTAACTGTGAATGGCTACAGTAGATTAAGCAGCATACTTCCACAAAACATTTTCCAATACAAGACCAAATTTTATGAGTTGTGTGAGTATCCTGTGTAACATCTCTAGCAGGCACATAAAACACTTCAGGGTATATACAGAAAGACACATTTGACTGGGCAGACCAATGCATTAGAAATAGCTCTCAATCTTTCATAGTACCAGATGTGTACCATAATGTGAGACCAAAAGACACACACACACACAAAAAGAGAGAGGGACAGGAAAAAAAACTCAAAGCACTTGGTAGAAGAATGAATTGAGAATTATTTCCTCAGCTGAGCCAATATATCCTACAACACGGCTTTCTGTGAGTCAGCCTTTTCGTGCCACCAAACTTAAAATAGCAAAAGTGTGATAACAGTAGGCTTGTTGGAAATAGAAATTTTTAAAGGATACAAAAAAAAAAGACTGACTTTTGGACTGGGAGAGTGGTGATGACCGTGCTGGTGATCTGCTGGGAAGTGATTACTGTAAGAATATATCAATTAATGCTAAAGTATGTGACATTTATCTGAGATCATAAAACAGTGGTTTCATCCCAACCCCACCATCTCCTTTAATTTTGCTTACGCTGCTGAGAAGCCCTGAGCAGGCAGGGAGGAACCTCAGGCAAATTCCACACTGATTTCACATAGTTTGGGACAGCGCTTAATACATATACATAAAGAAGGAAGGAGAATGTTTCTAGAGGCAGAGTTAAACCAGGGAGGGACTAGCTATTATGCAGACTTGTTGGCCACATCCCAGCCTTTGGTGGTTCTTCAAGGGCTGTGCCTGCCAGAAACAAATTTAAAGCCTGAATGAAATGTGTCTCCCACCAAAGCCATCAGCTTCCCTATTTGCTTACATGATGTGCAGCACACACAGGTAGGGGAGTTCCCACTGAGAGCAAAGATCATGCGCCTGCTGGTAATTCTGCACCATCAGCTCAAAGCAATTAGCACGCAGAAGGGGTGGAGCTCCACCGTGGCCTGTATAAAAATTAAGATCATTATTAAAATGGACCCGAAAATTAAAAAGGCACCCCACGCACCCCAGCTTTTGGCAGAGCTGGGGTTGTCTCTTCTATTTCTGGCTTAATGAAGTCTCCTCTGCAAACACCCTGTCCACCTCAGATTTCATCCGCTTGCTCACAGTCCCTGCATTGCCCTATATTTAGGTTCAAAATCTAACATTTGCCAACTTAATTGGACTTGGGGCATCTTGCATTGAAGTGGCCCCATGGCATTTGTCTTTTAGTTTTCATTTCTTCCTACCAAACGCAGGTCCCGTTTTGCAAGGTGCTGGGCAGAGACAGATGCACAGATGTGTAAAATAAGCAAACAAAGCCAAGGCAGACCAGCTTCACACAGCAGGTTACTTTTAAAGCTAAGAGCAAAATGTCCGTCTCCTGAGCCTCATTGAGGGAGGCTCGCTCCCGCCAGGCTGTGTCTTGGCATTCAAACCCAGGATTTCTGTGCAAGCACCTTCCTCCACTGCTCAGGAATTTTTATTTTAAAAAGTCTACAAGGACATAAAAAACTTTTCATTTCCCACATCCTGTCATTAAGCAGCTGTACTCTGAACAATGAATGATGACAAACTAAAGCAACAGTTTTAACTGAAGCAGGATTACACTTGGCATCGCTATTTGTTTTGTGGCTTACTGGACAGCAAGACAAATGTGTACTTCTGCTATCCTTTTCCATTGCCAGCTCTGTCCCCTATTAATACATAATGGCATGACTGGAGGGAGCACCGTAGCCAAAGCAGCTGTAGGATGAGACCTGAAAAATCAAATGACATCTGGGCTAGCAAGGGCTGGGGGTCTGTGGTCTTGAACAGGACCCTTGGTTCCTCTTTGCTGGCACTGACCTGGGACTATCTGATGCTTTAGCAGGAATAAAGATTCACGCAAGGCTTCTGGTCCATGGTGCTTTTGTATACATACAAGGAGATAGCTGTCCTGACCTGGGGGGAAATCGGCTCATCAGAGGATTATAACCAAAATCCTGCTCAAATCCACTCTACTGAGTAAGGAGAAAACATAACCAACCTGTGCCTGATTATCACACAGTACTTGCAGAGGTTTCAGTAATATCACACTTTGTGCATCCTCATAAGCCTTGCTGGTAATGATGATACATTGCTGTTAACAGCAATGCCATTTAGAAACTGGAGGTACAAAAATATCCACCAAGGATGCTGCCAGCTTTACACAAATTGATGTGAATGCATAATAACATTACTCTGCACCAACGTAGTACTTGTAAACCAAGAGGCTCAAATTGCTGCACCCATCAGGGCAGACAGCTCTCATCTAGGTAGGAGGCTGCCAAGGGACGGCAGTACATGTGCAGTGAGCGTGATCCTCGTAGAGGGGCTCAGCCCATTCTACAGAGTGGGTCACGACACAGGCAGGATCTTGATCACACTTCCTCCTCCCTGAGCACAGCCCCAGGCTTGCATGATGGCACCCAGAACCCCTCGCTGGTATACCAGCTCACAGCTGGGGGGGTGTGCTCTGCACATACAAAGTGACATTTAGCGGTTTCTGCTTGGAAACGTTCTCAGTTCCTTCTGGGCCATCCTTCTGTGCAAACATAAGACCCATTCAACCCGAGCTGCATCCGCAGGCAATCGGGAGTCAATGGGATCATTCATGTTCCAAAAACTGCGTGCACACTCAAGTTGTTCCTTTGGCAGTGGCCTGGGCTGACTCTGCTGTGTGCTTCCAGCCCCAATCACTTCAGCATTTGCACGTATTCCACCTCCCATGAGGTCCACAGGACTTCTGTAAACATAAATAATGATAGTATTATGGCCCTGTTTCAAGTCCGAGTTTGCAAATGGTGCTTCTATTTATTACTGAGCATCTATTTATTCATCAAATGCATTAGAAAATCCATTAAAGAGGAAATTAGGGACCTAATGACCTACACCATCATTCGAACATGGTGTTTCAGATACAGGCATTGAATATAGTTCTGCACTTGCATTTCATCTCATCTGATGACTCACTCGAGGTGGGAAGCGTCATGATGAGACAGTGTTATTCACCCTCCCCACCAGTAATTGGTTGGCAGAAAAAGAGGCTGTGGGGTTGAGCGCAGCTGCCTTGCAGGCAGGAGAGGCAACAGGGGCTGCACTGCAGGCAGGGTCAGGGCTGCTTACAGCCATTGCTGGGAACCAGCAGCCCCTGCAAAGGAAAGGACGGCATGGTTGGCTGTGGCATATGTCCATGTGCATGCATGTAGATAATATGTGTATTTAGAAAGAGGAGCAAACTGTAGCAGAGCTGCCTCATAGCTCTGTTGGTCCTGCAGGCACAGCAGGGACAGTGAATTACCTCCATCTCTACAGGGAGTCACAATTCAAGGACAAAATGATGACAGTAAGTGGCACTTTGCTGTAGCCAGACCTGAGGTTTAAGCAGCAGCTTACCCTCAGTCTTCAACAGCAGCTATGGGTTGGCTTGTCCCCAGCTCCTTCTGCCATCACAGCACTACAGCAGGGGCAGGTTTTCTGATAGGACTTTCCATCCCAAATCTCTTTCAATGAGCTGACAGCAACCAGGCTTCCCAATCTTAAAATGTGCAGTAAGCTCCATAAATTGAGTGTCAGAGCTGTTGTATATATAAATCTGTAAGTGAACTGCGTCTTTGTGCTGCTCCATTTCATTAAACTAGCTGAACAATTCAGTAGTTAGTTTATACCTCCAGGCACTTGGGTCATCTCTGATTTTAACTCATCTCAGAGTTCGTGTTTGCAACGAATAGCTTTTCTCCCTGACAGGACAACAAAATACAGTAAACCATTAAATCTCCCCCAGTGAAATGGCTCCTACCAGCAAGTAGCAGGGATGGGGCTTCTCTTGTATCGCACTCCTCCCTTTGCTCGCATCCACATCCAGGGAGTGCTGCACCACCCCCCAAGTCTTCACCTTTAGTTTGGATCGACAGCAGAGACCAGGCCACAGTTTAGCTCCCCCAACACTGCTACATCCTTCATTCCCCTTCCAGAAGTATGACACAGCAAAGGTCTTTTCTTCCTTGGCTACACAACAGTGGCATTTGTTTCCTCCACACCCCAGCAAGGAACATTTTGCAGCCTTTAAATGAACTGAAAAGATCTCCACCAGCAGCTCAGTTCAGCAGGTAAGAGCTTGTCACACATCAAATCCCCATCGCTTTCAACTGGGTCTGTGACAGTTTTGCAAGTGAATAACATATAGCTGCAAACGATTTAAAGCTTTCTAATAAATGCTCTGTCCCATCCCCCCCCCTTCATTGCACAGAGACAACACACAAACTACATTATTCTAATTCCCTGCTAAGCTTTCTAGCTCCTTCTTACATCATACAATATAATCAGCCATTTGGCCCTGAGTCAGTATTTCCATGAAGCAGAGTCAGTGTAAAAAGCTTTCAAGGCACTCAAATTGTTTTTGCTTCTGTAATGCTTTAAAAATGCTATATCTTGGGACTGAAGAATATTCAGGGACAACACAGCATTTCTGGATGCCTTTCAGTTCTTGCATCAGAAATGCTGGCACTGAGAATGAAATTGTTCCCATATTTGAGCTTGGTACCAAAACATCAAGTTTTTGTTTGTGAAAGTTATAAAAACAAATGAATATAGACTTGAATACATTAATCAGAGAGAAATGGAAACAACTCAGTAGGATTGTCTAGCAACCCCTGTACTTTATATAAACAATAATAGGTTGCTGTTTACCAATGGCCACATTCTGGGCCAGATGAAAGCAATTTAAATGGATATTCAGAACTCAAAGCAGTATTAGCACATGCCTGTATACTGACCAGCACCAGCTTTGTGTGCAGACACCACAGCTGTTGTTGTCTATAGTATGTCCAGGTACCCTATATGTAGACTATTCATAGAATGGGTTGGGTTGGAAAGGACCAACTCAAACCTGCCACAGGCAGGTACCATCCATAAACCAGGTTGCTCAAACCCTGTCCAACCAGGCCAGGAACAATTCCAGCTTTCACCATTCCAGGGAGGCAGATGAGCACACTGCATGGCAGGGAGTGCAAGCAGGTGCCCAAGTACCCATACTGAGCCCACTGGGATGTGAGCAGCCAAGCATCAAAATGTCAGAGCCCATAGATGAAAGAATTCCTTTAGGGTATCTCTGAGGATCCCTTTAGGGATCCCCTTTCAGCTGGTCTGCAACAGTGTACTCTAGCTTTTCAGCAGGGATGTCTCAGCATCCTTTCCTTATCCATAATGACACTTAGAGGTGCCATCAAATACAGCATGGGGATGGGAGTGACACTTTGTCCATGTTACCTGACTACTAATAAATGCATTTGTCATCCCTGCTTCCTACACGTTATTCCTCACCACTGCCCAGGTTTATTTTGCTTTCTGAGGGGAGAAAATGCTATCAGACCATCAGCAAGAAAAGTAGCACACAGGCTTTTTGGTGTGTTTATGTCCATTCCTTGCCGTCCTCTTTCTGTTTGTAGAAGCCATTGTGAAGCAAGAGTGCAATTTTTGCATTGGTTCCAAAGATTACATGACATCAGTCGTAGCCACTGACAGGTTTAAATGTCATCTGAGAAAAGAAGCAGCAAGAAAGGCTGTGTTTTGAATTTTAATGGGAGCAGGAGCTGATAAGATATTGCTGTTTTGGGATGCTTAGGGAAGTACCGGAAGATCTCTCTGCTCTGAAGTGATGCACGTAGTCAGTGGAAACTCTTTTCCAGAAAAATTGTGGAAAAATGGCAGAAACCTATAGAGATAGGCCCACTGTCCTGTGGAAAATGGTTTTGGCTGTTTTGTGGGGTTTTTTCTCAAAAAAATTATTCCCTTTGCCCTCATGGTGAGAGCTCCCAAGCCCCACCTCATCCCCACTGAGGCACCATGACAGGAACATCTTAATTCCCATTTGAAAGGGTGTCACGGGGTGACACGGGATGTACAGCCCAGCCAACAAAACACTCCAGCAAGAAACTCCCCTTGGGGAAATTTCCCATCAGAATGCTAAGCTTTGAATTGAAAGGTTTTGCCCCCAAGCCTTCAAGCTTTGACTTTTCAATAACAACTGTACATTCTTTGGCTATTTTTCATGTAAGTCCAGTAGAAAGGACTGCTGATCATTTCCCTTTTTTTCCTGGGGTATGGGTGAGCCCCATGTCAGCTCTAAAAACCAAATGATAACCCCCCAGTTGACGTCTAATGAAACCTCTAAACTTTTTTGCTTCCTATTAGTAAACAATAAGTTTTATCTGCCTCTCACCATCTCAGTACTAAGGAAGAAGTTGAAGAGCTTTCTAAGAACTTCTTGAACCACCAGTGAAAACTAGCATTAGAGATAAAACTACAGTATCTGGAAATCAGAAAATAGCTTCTCTCCAGCTGTCTTATCAAGTAGCAGCACAGAGCTGTGAAGTGTACTTATTGTGCAGCAACTGAAGAAAAAAATTTGAGGAAAACACTGGAAGCACAAGGAATATTTTAGGCACCCAGTAATGTGTGCAGTTTGCATCTGAGAAATGGAAAAGAAAAAAAGAAAATAAATCCCTCAGATTATGTCAGAATCTCTCCATTATCAGAATCTAAAACTGGAAGAGTTGTATTTTTTTCGTTATTTTAAGAAAATGCCTAACAAAGGCCACAGAAGAGCACTCAGCCATTTCCAGAGGAAGAGCAGGGACTGGCTGTGGTCCCTCTACCCAAGTGTCAATTGAGTGGCATAGCAATGTTTTCTCTGATAATTTCCACACAAACATCCACATCAGAGCAAACCTGAGAAGAGGCCAAGCTTCCATCCAACACCACTGACTTTGCACACACGAGTAAGCCATGATGCGTGTCTGTCCCCCAGCTCTCCTTGCCCAGAGCACTTGCGTGTAATGGTTTCCAGGTGCAATGGCCCTTGTCCAGCCAGCAGAGATTTTCTCAACCCCAGCTTGGCTCCTGGCCACTGCCTCCCTGGCCTTCAGCATTGCCTTCAATATTCACAGCCCTCTTACTCTCCTTCTTGCACTTTCCCAGAGTTACTATGGCTTTTTCCAAACTTAGCTCTGTTCTTATAGGACCCTTTCCTTCACCTGTGCAGGCCAGCACTGTACCCCAAACTTTGTACCCCAATCACTAGATAATGACTGAGACTGCAGAGATATGCTCAGATATGAAAGTATATGACTGCCCTGGGTTTGGCATCAGCTTTTTCAGCCTGTGTGGCTGGAGATCTGCCCCATCCCATGTGTTTTGTTGCTTTTCATAGCTGCACCTCATCACTGTGGCACTCTCCAACCAAAATCTGCTAAAAAAAAAGACCAGAAAGCAAGCTAACCCATGGGGAACCTGTCCCCTCCAGGGGACATGACGGTGACCACCTTAGGTGACCGTGGTGCACAGTGGGGACTGCAGCACCCCTTCTGAACCAGGAGCCCCTCTACCTGACAGGTCTGGAGGCGCTCATGCAACCACCTATGAGGGCTGGTACCACCCCCAGCACACTCTTGAGGCAGCTCAGACCAGGCAAAAAGGACTGGCTATGGATGCCTTGGATGCTCCTTCCTGAGCAGGAGAGGGAACCTACTCCCAATGCAGGCAGTCAGGCAGCAGAGCACAGACTGCTCGAGCAGGGGACACACTCATCATCTGAGAGCTGCCATCCACAGTAGATGTATGCTGTGGTATTGTAATATTTCCATAAAGAAGTACAGTCTCTGAATGTAAACCTCAACTTGGTTTTGCAATGAATTTAGGGGAAAATTTCCAGAGCTGCAATGACCCTATCTAGTTCCAGTGCAGTAC